TTAGTGCTTTTTCATTCCTCTGAATTTTTTTTTTTTTTTTTGAGACAGAGTCTCACTCTGTTGCCCGGGCTAGAGTGCCGTGGTGTCAGCCTAGCTCACAGCAACCTCAAACTCCTGGGCTCAAGCAATCCTCCTGCCTCAGCCTCCCAAGGAGCTGGGACTACAGGCATGTGCCACCATGCCTGGCTAATTTTTTCTATATATTTTTAGTTGTCTAGCTAATTTCTTTCTATTTTTGGTAGAGACGGGGTCTCGCTCTTGCTCAGGCTGGTTGCAAACTCCTGAGCTCAAACGATCCTCCTGCCTCGGCCTCCCAGAGTGCTAGGATTATAGGCATGAGCCACCGCGCCCAGCCCTTTGAATGTTTTTGTACCTTAACTATATACATGTATAGCCATAAGAAATATGTATTAGTTTTCATATTTTTAAACTTTATATGTATGTTTCCTTCTGTAGCTTGCTTTTTTCCCCATGACATCTGCACCTTTGAGATACAGCCCTACCAATTGATACATGCAGCTCTAGTCTGTTCATTTTAAACCTCCATGTAGCGTTTAATTGTCTGACTTTCCCTTAATTTAATTATCTATTCTCATTAGGGTGAACATGTGAATTGCTTCCAATTTTTGACTGCTATAAACATTATTTGCGTGATCATTCTTATACATGTCTCTTTGGGCACATATACAAGATTATCTCTTGAGTTATATTCCCAGGAGTGAAATTGCTTACTTGTTCAACTTTACAGAGTTTGCAAACACTTTCCACCAATTTATGTTCCCACCAGCAGAGTGTGTAAATTCTCATTACTCCACATCCTTACCAACATTTGATATTATCAGACTTCTTTGTCAACCATATGGATGCAAAGTTATATCTCATTTCTTTATGTTTATGTTTATTTTTTTATTTTTGTAGAGACAGGGTCTCGCTGTGTTGCCCAAGCTGGTCTTGAACTCCTGGGGTCAAGCAATCCTCCCACCTCAGCCTCCCAAAGTTCTCGGATTACAGGCCTGAGCCACCATGCCCAGCCTCATGATTTCTTTAACTATACTTTCCTGATAGTGAAAGTGAACATCTTTTCATATGTTTGCTAGGCTTTTGGAATTCCTGATCTGTGAGTTGTCTATTTACACCTTTTGCCCATTTGCTATTGGTCTGTTTGCATTTTTTCTTACAAATTAATAGACATTCTTTATATTTCTGGAAACAAGTTGTTTGCTGATTACATATATCGTATGTACTCCCAATATATAGTTTGCCTTGATTTCGGATGCCCAGAAGTTTTTATGTTTAAGGTGACCAAATTTACCTATCTTTTCTGTTCTGACTTGTACTATTTGTATCTTACATAATAAATCCTTCCCTCCCAAAAGTCACAGGGTTACTTTTCCTTATATTTTCTCTCAAGCATGTCAAAGTTTTGCTTTTTAAATTTAGGTCTCTAATCCACTTGGAACTTTTGTGTACATGGTGTGAGGGATCTAATTTTATATATGGTTTTATTTGTATTCATCTATCTTTTAATGATGAATATGTATTCTTCTTTTAATAAATTATTCTAATTTTTTTAAGAAGCTCAATTGGATAAGAAAATGCCTACCTCACTTGCCCAATAATTTCAGTCAGTTTGACTGATTATGCCTATTAATTGTACTTTTCAAACTCTTACGTGGATAGTGGTAGGGTGGAGCTGGGACCACAACTGAACCCATTTCAACATGAGAACAACCTGATGCTATTCCATATAGAGTGCAGGTTGGGAGGAGAAGGATAAAAGATTTGATTATGTATAGGCATTTAATACTAATTTGTATGGCATGCCTTTTTTGCAAAGTAGTTTCATGGACATCTTACTCAATTCTCACAACAACCCTATTGAACACCAGCATTCAGATGAGGAAACCAGGGTTCGGAGACATTCTTGTCCTCTTGTCCAAGTTTTTGTTTTGTTTCTGTTTTTGTTTTTTTTGAGACAGGGTCTCACTCTGTCGCCCTGGCTAGAGTACATTGGCGTCATCATAGCTCACTGCAACCTCCAACTCCTGGGTTCAAGCCATCCTCCTCCCTCAGCCTCCCGAGTATCTGAGACTGGAGCGCACCACCATACCTGGATAATTTTTCTGTTTTTTACAGAAATGGGGTCTGGCTCTTGCTCAGGCTGATATTAAACTCCTGAGCTCAAGCGATCCTTCCACCTCAGCCTCCCAGAGTGCTAGAATTACAGGTGTGAGCCACAGCACTAGGCCCTTTTCAAGCTTTTTAAGTGAGAATGCTCAGACTACAATTTGGGTTTTCTACTCCTGCTGTAGTGCATACACAGAATGCCCTGCCTTTTATCTTGTCTTCTTTTCCATAAAATTTTCTCTGTGAGCCAGGTATCTGAAGGATGACTTTTGGAGACCCGAAAGAGTGACCTGGTGTTAACTTGAAGTGATATGCTGTGCTTTTGGCTAAGACAGTCAGTAGGTGGCTACAAGTCGTCCCCAGTCTCCACCATTTCAAACCTCGAAACACTTCTTTTTAGTGCCTTATCTCAGAAAAGAAAGGGCTTTTGATACATGAATTAATTAATTAAGTAATTGTTATTGGTTTTTTCTCACTTATGAAGTTGATTACTAAGCTTGGACTATTGCTTTCTTTTAAATCATTTCCCACATGAAATTATATTGGTAAACATCAACGTGTTTGCTTTATTACTCTTCTGTGACTTTCACACGCATCCTTGGGATGCGTGTGACCCATTCTTTACTTCCTTGGCATACTGTGTCATTCATGAACATAAGAGAGGAAACAGATGAAGATTTTTTTCCTTTGCTAAAATCTCTATGTCATTGTCTGAATTTTCAAAGCTAAATTAGGTGGCAAAAAAATCTGAAGTCATTTTGAAAGTAACCTTATATAGATTCTAGACCAGAGGTCAGCAAACTTTTTCTCTAAAGGCCCACATAGTAAATATTTTAGGCTTTGTAGGTCATATGGTCTCTGTGGCAACAACTCAACTCTGCCATTATTGTTCAAAAGCAGCTATGGATAATACATAAACAAATGGATGTGCCAATAAAACTTTATTTACAAAAACAAACTGAGCAGATTTGGCTCCCAGACCACAGTTTCCTTACCCCTGTTTTCAATTATTTAAGCTTTGTCTACTAGGAATCTGATTCTTTGGCTAAATGATTTCTTAACACCCATATGTTTCAGAGCCTCTTTCTATCACCAAAGATTCTAGGGGTTTTCTCTCTAAAAATAAAGTGTGATATTTGCAAATGATTACCCACTATATTCTGAGCTCATGAAGAGTCAGAGGGAAGACCAGTGTTACTAGGTCAGCTATTAATCTTTTTCCTTCCAAGATTAAAATTGCTGCAAGCTACAGCCCTACTTGGTCTAGGCATATACCAAGCCCTGATCTCTTCCTATGTTTTAAACCTCTTCACAATTATAGAAGGTATCCAAATTCATAAACTGTTCGATCAGCACTTTTGTTCCATTATGGCCATCTGGACTACAGATCTAAAAAGTATCTTTATTTCTATTAGTTAATTTCTTTGGAGAGCAAAGATAGGTATGAAAAATACCCAATGATTGAGTTGAAAATAAGACCTATTTTTTGTGGTCTTTTAGTCACTTTCTCGCATTTTTGTCTCAGTCTGCTCATTGACAATTTGGGAATCATAAGGCCTTTTTGTATGAAAGATTCTGGGGCAGAGGGCAACATAGGAGGATCTTTCAGTATGAATTTTGTACATAAAATTTTTCCATGAAAGAAAAAGTTCCTAATAGTCTTCACAAATATTTTGGGAAAGATTATTTTTAAATGTATGTTGTATTTGCTGAACAATATATAGGGATACATTTATTATATGAGAGATTCTTATCCTAAGAAGCTATAGGAATATTTTCCCACTACCACCTTTACTTATAATTTTTAAATTAGTATTTTTATGATATAAAAGTAATATAGTTTCATAGAAGAAAATTTGGGAAATTTAGAAAAGCATAAACAAGAAAAGTAAAATCACTCACAATCCAACTGCTTAGAGATAACTATTGCTGACATTCTCGTGACCGTCCTTTTGACATCTCTCTATGCAATGCATACGTGTAGATTAGATATAAAATTTTCACATGCATGAGATAATATATACAATTTTTTTGTAACCTGCCTTTTTTGCAGAAGTATATAGAATGGATGTACTCCTGGGTCAGTAAATATGGATCGGCATTAACTTTAGTGGCTACATGGCATTCCCCAGTATAGATGTACTTACTGTCCCCTGTTGGTGCATTTTAAGTGCTTTCCAATATTATAGAGAATGCTAAGGTAAACACTCTTGTCTGTATCTTGTTGCCCTGGCAGAGTATCTCTTTAATATAAATTCCTAGAAGTGGAATTAGCCAAGTTATGTGTATGTGTATAAACATATGTATGTATAATTTTGATATAGAAAAGTTTATGCCCAAATTATATTCTCAATAGTTAATGAGAGAGCTTCACATTCTCACCAATACTGGGAAATTTTTTGAATTTCTCAACAAATCAGTTATCAGCATCTCAGCATCCTTCATTTTTGCTATCATTTCATAAAGTATTTTATGTTTTTTATTCCAATGTCTACATAGCACTTACTATATGTAAGAGACTGTTCTAGGTGTTTTTATGAATATTAACTAATTTAATCTTCATAATAACCCAATGATATGGGTACTATTATTATCCTTAACTTACAAATGAGGAAACACTTGAGTGACTTGAAGGTCATACATATACTAAGTGGTGGAGGCAGGACTTGAAGCTTCCTGGAGATTCCAAAGTCCATCCTCTAAATTCATGCCACCCCTAAGCCCTGTCACCTCTTGGAGGAAAAGCTAAGCTGGTGAGGAAACAAACCTGGACACCAGGGGTCAGAGAGTCAAGTCCTAACTACTAGCTCATGTATATTTTCAGTATTTCCTACTTTAATTATTTTAAAAGTAATCCCTTCGATTTTTTTTAGGGTATATCAAGGTCAGAAGAAATCAAAAGAAGCTTTGCCCCACTATCAAGAGGCTTTGAAATATGTTGAGATCGTCAAAGGTGAAAAAAGTCATGAGTGTGTACCAGTATTGAGGGAATTAGCGGGTATAGAACAAGCCCTGGGATTCTACGACACAGCCATCAACCATTTCCTACAGGTAAGCTTCAACGTACTGGCCATCAAAACTGTTCTAGACCCAATGCTTTTCATAGATACAAGCAGCATAGCAGCTCTGCAAATGCCTGGCTTTGTCATTTGCTCTAGGTAAGTAAAACACCTGGCCTAGAGTAGATGTTCAACAAAGATTTTCTTATTAGGTGGCCAAGTAGGTGAGTACAGGATGCTGGCTGCTCCCCCATTATGGGTTGCACAGGCCACAAAGAGCTTAGACTCCCTAAATGTGGTTTTTCTCATATTACATGCATAATTTGAGTATTATTTCCCAAAGTTTCTTTATCCTTTAATATTTATTGGATCATGCAGTTTGGGGGCTGGTAAGTCTGAAATCCATGGGGCAGTCCAGCAGGCTGGAAAGTCAGGCAGGATTTCTGTGCTACAGTCTTGAAGCAGAATTTCTTCTTTTCTGGGAAATCTCAGGTTTTTGCTCTCCAGGTCTTCAACTGACTGGATGAGCCCACTCATATTGTTGAGGGTAATCTCATTTTCTTAAAGTCCATTGATTGTGAATATTGATCACAACTACAAAATATTGTATATTCACAGCAACATTTAGACTAGTGTTTGACCAAACCACTGGGCACCGTAGCTCAGCCAAGTTGACACATAAATTAACCATCATAGTCATCATGATGTCTTTATATCATATCAAAAATTAAGAAGAGCTAAAAGCACTTCTTAAAAAATTTTTCTCAGAATTTTTTCCTATAAAAGTTGTAAGATAAATACTAACCCATTCCTGTTATTTCAAAGGAGATGTAAGGACATGGTACTGAGAATACTCTATTGCTATTTCTTTTTAAATTTGTCTAACAATTTATACTCCTACTCACAGTTTGTTAGAATGCCCCGTTCTCTCACTTTATCTGGATTATCTCTTTTAGTCATTATTACCACTCTGTGACACATTACTATTTCCGGTTTATAGATAAGGAAGTCAAGAATTAGAAAGGTTGAGTGATATGCCCTGCAGTACACAGCCAATAAATGGCATTGCTCAGATTCGCACCTTTCTTTTTTAGAAAAATTGTTCTGGCTGATATGTGGAGAATGGATTGGGGAGGTTGCATCAAGAGTGGACGTAGAAACCAGTTAGGAAGCTATTGAAGGAGCCGAAGCTGAGAATGATGGTGGCTAGAGCTACGATGAAGATAGCGGGGGTGAAGAGAAGTAGATGGATTTGAGAAGATTTAGGAGCAGAATTGATAGGGCGTGGAGATTGATTGGACGTGGGGAGGAGAGTCAAAGATGGTTGCCAGGCATCTGGTCTGGACACTGAGTGGATGTTTGTACCGTTTGCGGAGGGGAACAGGTGTGAGGGTGATGGAGAGGGGTGGGCTCCCTTTGGATGGTGAGACTGAGATGTCTGTGAGGCATACAAGTGGAAATGACAGCTAGGGGGTTAAATAGTCAAGGCTGGAGCTCAGAAAATGGGTCGGAAAGTCATCCACTCATGCACCACAATTGCCCTGGGAGGGGATGTGATCACCTAGGGAAGGTTGATGGAAGGAGAAGAGAAAAGGACTGGTGACAGATTCTCAAGGAACTTCAGCATTCACTGCTGAAGTAAAGAAGGATGACCCGGCAAATAAATAAAAGAAAAATTGCCAGAAAAACAGAAGGAAAAGTAAAAACAAAAGGGGTGTCCTCTATCTCACGTTTTTTGATACCTTTTGCCGTTTTGGGTGACATGGAATTCTGGAGAGGGAAAATGAGTTCATATTTGCAAAGAGCTTAGCACAGTGCCTGGTACATAGTGCTATATATGATGTTTTAAATTTTCTCTCTTTCCTTCAATTCTTCCTTTTTCTGTTATTTTTCTTTTCTTTTTCTTTCATTGATGACTTTGTTGAGGGGAATGTTGGGGCAATGATGAGGACAGAAACCAAGTTGTATTACAGGTGAGATGTGAGGAAGCAAAGATAATTCATGTAGAGAACAGTTTTAAAAAGCACTAAGAGAGGCCTTTTGGGGAAGACTAGGGCCAGGCAGGAGGGCAGAGCACGTGGAGAGGCCTGAAGGTGAGACAGAGCTTGACATGTTCAGGGAACTGCAAGAAGCTCCCTCTGCCTGGGCCATGGGCATGGTGAAGGCCATAGATGGGTATCATTTAGGTATGTGTTGAAAGTCATGTTAAGGAATTTGAGCTTCCTCCTAAGGGCAGTTGAAGGTTTTCAAGCAGGGAGATTGACATCATCAGATAATCAGTCTGGAAGGATCACACTGAGGTATAGAGAGTGCACTGGGTGGCAGAGAGATAATTGGGGCGATAACTCAGTGATGGTGACCACAGCAGTCCAGGCAGTGGAGGGTGACAGCCTGGACTCAGTTGTCAGGGAGAATGGAGAAATGGGGACAGATCTGGGGGATACACAGGGAGTTGAAGTGACAGGCCTGGGGGCTTATGCAGACGTTGGGGAGTGAAGGAGGTGGAGGAGTCCAGCTTTATGCCAGGTTTCTCATGGCACTGCTCACTGAGCATAGGAACACTGATGGGTTTGCAACTTTTTGTTAGTATCAATAATTCTGAATATTTTGATACAAAAACCTTTTTTTATTTTCTTGAATTATTTGCTAGAGTAAATGTCTAGAAGTTAAACTGCTGAAAGGAGGGATATGAATATATCACAGCTCCTAATTTATGTTGACATTCTGCCAAAGGGTTGTTTTGATTT